TGTAATAACAATGGAATAATAAAATAATTTACTCAAATGTACATAATAATATATATACATATTCATAAAAACAATATTAAGCGCAATAACTTTTTTGTACGCGAAAGAAAACCAATAGGTCCGTCGGGACTAGAACTCAAGACTCCTTTCTAATACGTCTACTTTACAGTGAACGGACGGAAGAGAATCCGTTCACGACCATGGTCCCTTCGATGATTTTCCGACGTACCGAACACGCATGATCTGACAACATTGTACTTTAGACTTGACAACACTGTAGAAGTTAGACTAGTTGAGCTTGAATGGATTTAACGTAGTTCACAAATTCACCGTTCTCATAACGTAGAGGGCAGCAGAAAATCCCTGACTTTTTACACTATCGGTATTTCAGAACATGAGACACGAAGTCCCATAAGATGATAGGTCTATCTTATACCTCGTCGGTGGTTGTATGATAGATTAAATGTCCCTAATACTCCCACTTTATTTATTTTACGTAATAAAAACATAACGTACGAACAAATGTGTACTGAAGATTGTATTATTAACCCCGTCCAACCGCAGAGTTCAATTTAGAATCGTTAACTTATTCAGCATTTGTAGTTAATATCATGAATCTGAAGATTCAGTATGGCATCGTATTGTATAGTATAATTTCTTACCGTTGCGACGTACCCCTCAGGGACGGGACGCGGGGGGGGGGGGGGGGACGACTCAGTCGGTATGTCAGGATCGTTTGAATTGACGAGACAAGTGAGGTTCTCGATGGTAAATACAGATTTATCTGCAGCTTTATGTATGTGTATACATATATATATACAGGGTGTCCCAAAAATATCCTCCGACCCGGTAATGGGGCACTCGGGGGGTGAATTGGAACAACTTTTTCCTTAGCAACAATGTAAACTGAGGCTTCGTTACCGAGATATTAACGAAAAACCGCGACCAATCAGAGCGCGAGTTTGCCAGCCAAGTTCCCGCGCTAGCGGTGGCTACGCGCTACGCTTGTACCACGAAACTCCGAACAAGTAGGTCACCATGTATCGCAGGAAACCGCGTATAATAATAGTAAATAAACAAGACGTATCAAATAAAATCATACTTTTTATCATCTGTCGTTTGTTATTTAAAGAGATTAGTGAATGAAACGTAAATGTAAGCAAATTATGTGTAACGTAAAAAGACGAATGCACATTTACATTTTTGTAAATTCCTTTTTACGAATTTGTAAATTTCCTTTTCAAATAACGTGTGAACGAAAA